GTTGAGCCAGCATTTTATGGATAAGTGTGGTGTTTACCTTTACTTGCTCTTTTACTTCTTCTAGAAGTGTTATCATTTTGCTAAAAAAATGCTAAAAAAATACATGCATTAGTTATACAATTGAAGTGTAAACTAAAAGTTTTGGCACATGTATTAGTAGGCTACTTATTTAATTGCAAGTTGCAAATGTAATTTTGAAGAATTCATCACTTTTATAACATTCTGGCACTCAATTAACTTATGTTTATTTACTTTCTACCTTTAATTAGAAAAATATATGCAAAACTTATGACATGTATGCTTACTTGTTGATCTATTTTCAAAAAGGCTTTGTCCAGTTGGGGGGTTAGGCAAATTGATTCTTTTTTGGGTCCTGTCTGTTTTGGTTATGGTTGGAAGTTCCTCTTCCTCATCCGACACATCTGACTCTGACTCTGACTCATAACGAGGATTTGGTCTGTTAAAAGAAAGAAGAATGTGAAGTCATAGAATACAGGTAAGTAGAAGTATGCAAATGGGGATCAGGGCTTCAGATGTTTATATGGCAAAATTATTTGCACTATTTTAAGCATTTTTGTACATTATTTGGGTCTGCAATTTATCAGCTAGGTGTTGAATAAATGCAGTATATATCAGTACTAGTACTATAGCTTTGTTTTAGGTATTGTTTTAAATGTAACTGATATTTAGAATATAATATTTCCCCAATAATGAACGTTTTATTTCATTGAATATTTTTTATCCTATTTCAAATGAAACATGTAGATTGCTATAGTTGAGCCTTCTTTGAGGTGTTCTCATCAAGCACAATCATATCCTCTTGTGTGCAGTCGTTTTTTGTAAATGGAGGATAAAAAGTTTACTTTTCCACATTGCCTTCATTTACAAATAACGACTGCTAGTCATTCCGTGGTATTGGAACTGAGTAAGTATCTTAAAATGATGTGTTATTTATGTGCCTGACATTTTCCTAAAAACTGAGGCTCAGGCGTATACACATAAAAAAGCTGTACGAAATCTAGTAGCAAATAAGATGAAGAAAGCTATGCATTTTCAAATACCAAAGTCTGTTCCAGTTTACAGAATGAGTATGTGAGTAGTCTGCATGAAAACCAGGCTAAACTTGCACGTTATCAAAAATAATCTTGTTCATCTCGTAAATCAAAAAATTAACTGACAAGTTGTTGAAAGATAACTTGAAAGCATTGTGTAAATGGTATTATAACATTAAGTGAATGTTTACTGCCTGGTATTTGGTGCTCCATTTAATTTTTAGAAATCAAGTTAATTACATATATTGTATATTATAATGTGCCAAAGTGTCAACAATTGTTGAATTTATAGTCTTAATTTCTTGATATTGAACCTAAAAACTGAAACGATATCTATAAATAGACTGTAAATTCGCACTTGCACGGTCACGTCACCAGTAAATTCTATTCTAAATTAGCACAGAACATAAGTAATTCATGTGTAGATATTAGATATGTGATATTGGTTAACATTTTAACACATTTCTTACCTCTTCTTTCTTTTACTCCTCTGAGAAGCTGGAATGATCTCCTCATTTTCTGTTACAATGTCTGATTCATACTGGGCGACATTCAGCTTCCTCCTAACTTTGTCATAGTCATCTGCAAAATAAAATTAATGAATTGACATTGAAATGTCACATTTTGGACTGAAACATGTGAATATGTGTAGCATGCACATTAGTTCTAGATGTTCGAAACATATGATAGAATGCCTAATAGTAGAAAATAATGCTCACCCTGTTCATATAGAATCCTCACAGTATACTTCTTCCACGAGGATCTGTCCGGGATAAGATGGGCCTTTATGGCAGCCTGTACACTCTTCTCTCTTGAAAAGGGAGGCCAGAACACATATTTTCTATCCTCTGATAGCCATTTATGTGACACAATAGCTATGTCACAATCGTCTGCGAATTCGACCAGGAGAAAGGCCATTTTTCTAGAACAATTATATTTAAATCAATTTAGTTATAAATTTGAAAGCCAAAACCATGTGCTTCCTTGCTACTGATGTTTTCACAAAGAGTTGAGTCTATATAAGAAACAGCATTATTCTGTAATTTACCAACACATTTAGGGCTGTGATTAGCATGTAAGGATTAAAATCCTAAAAAGATAATATGATGAGATAATAAAAGTACAAAGGGTCATTGATGTTGATCTAAGTGTACTAATTCTCGTATAGATCTCAACAATGTCTTTTATTCATTTATTTATTTTTTAAAATTTTTTTAACTTGGATGGAATGTTGGATAGAAAATTATTCACACATGAACCAACATGATTTGTTGCAAAACAATAGTGCCTCACTAGAAAAAGAAAACTTTGAAAAAAAAAAAAAAAAAATATATATATATATATATATATATATATATATATATATATATATATATATATATATATATTGGCATGGATGTCTACCATACTGCATCTGTGTATGGGATTGCAATGTGTTTGTGGTGTTATGGCAGAAGAACACATTTTGCTTCTACTTCAGAAATGGAGGCAATATGAAGGGTGTCATCCAGGCCAAACATTTGCCAATTCCCAGAAGAGTTGATGGGAGAGGACTATCAAAAAAATCCACAAAATGTTTAAAAGACTGAAAAACAATATAAACTGAGGCATTGTCTTCTATAATATTTCTGACTAGCGCTACGTTGCTGTTCACACGCATGCAAC